AATTATAGAAAAAAAAATAAAAAAAAAAAACAAAAAAAAACCCAAGATTTTTACGTTAAAAAATAACAGTTTACATATGAATAGTTACTATTAAACAGACAACTCATGATATACTTTACATATGACTAAAGAAATACTATTTCAAAAGGTAAATGCTAATCTAGGAAAGATGCAGTTCCTCTCTTGATAAACAGACAGCTTAAGGTACGTTTACTTATGACAGCTTAAAGTACATTTACTTATTACTAATCCAGAAAAGATGCATTTCCCCTCCTGGTAAAGGGGCAGTTTAAAGTACTTTACATGACTAAAGAAAGAAAAGTAGGATTATAGTAACCAGTTTTGCAGGCTGGAGGCACCTGATGTCAGTTTTACAACTATACTATAAATTTGGATAATCCTGAATTTACCACCCTATCAAATTTTGTTATGGTCCTTTATTGGCAATTATGCTGAGGGAGAAGAGTATATTAGAGGCACTGGGAAGCTTTTCAATATTACACCTAACTTCACTTTTGCAAGACTCTACTACATCTTGACTCTCTCCGTCTGACTTGTTCTTCTCTGCCTCCCTTTTGAAAAGCATTAATTTGTCATATACTTTTCTCACATATCTTCTAGTGTCTCCTGAGAGATGCATATCCTTTTTCCATTGCTAAATTTATCCTTGAATCAACTCTACAATGTTTTCCTCATGGTAGCATAGAAATACATTTTATTCTGTTAAAATAAGTTTCCATTCATATTTCAAAATCTTTAATAGTAATCAGCCAGTTTACTGCATAATCAAGGTTGCTTATTGACAGACCATTTCATTCCATTTTTCTCCTGTAGATAACTTTCAGTAAGGCTTTAACTCCAACAGTTGTTAATCATATTAGTTCTACTTATCAGTAGGCCCCCAAACTCCATTTTTAAAAGAAGTGGAAAATAAAACCTTCTGTGCTAGAGCCATGTTTTCTTTTTCTACAGACCAGATCTTAGAAATCAACTACCATTAAGCCAGGCTTTGCACAAAATGCTTCTCCCAGACTAAGCCAGTTAGTTTTACCCTTATTGGGTTGGTTTTGTATCTGTAAGATGCTATTTAGAGCCTTGTTCTGAAGGTCATTTGCAAGGTAAAGATACGTATGTATTTCTGAATTTCCTTTTTTAAATTTCCTTCTAGAAGTGAGCCTGTGGTGAAAGAGGTAGAAACAGTTATTTTCTGCTTACATACATAATACTTCCTAACAAAGAAAATGTTATATATAATAAATACCTTTATTTTGCTAAAAATTTAGAAACATTCTCAAGTTTACTTGAAACACATTACTTGAAAGTGAAACAGCTATCTTTTAAAATACATTTATATTTTATTGCAGAGAATACTCTAGCAAGAATTCCATGCATTTAACATTATTTTTAAGAATGCCATTGCACAAGACTTTGTAGGGATGATCTCTTTAAATACAAATGAGACAAGCAGCTTCTGGAATATTGAGTATATTTATTTTTAATTTAAAGTTCCTTAAAAGTAACTTGATAATGTAATTTACCAAACCATGTTTATAGTAGCAACATGGAGAGATAAGTTTATTTATAATGTGAAAAAAATTTACGGCATGGGGGAAATCAATATATTTATATTTTTAAATCATACACTCAGATATGCTGAATTTCCATTAGATAGATACATTTTGTCAACATTGTTAAGGCAAAGTAATATTATTTGTTACTTTTTTCTGAGCCTCTAATTTTTTTGTGAAATTCCATTTTTATGCTTAAATATTACTTTACAAAATAATAGCAAATAACATTTATAATTGAAACATTCTCAGGATACAGGTAAAGTGAACATGGCCATTCTGTTAGGCCACAACACAAGATAAATTTTTATATTATTGGATCAGAAACTAGAGTACAAAATACATAGTTGGTTGAAAAACCGCCAGGATAGTTAAAAGCCTCTGATTTTTCATTCTGATACATTGCCTTCTTCTTGATCTTAAATTTTAGGTTATCAAATATTTTTTATCACACTTAGATTGGAGTACTCTCTTCCTTAGGAATTGTTCCCTTAGATGGCTGCTTATTTCAGGGTAAATCTTTAAGACCCCACACTACCCTGTATTACTTATTTTTCTATTGTAATTCTGCTTTGTCTTTCTTTTTTTTTTTTCAATTTTGCGAAACAAGTGAAAAAGATTTATTAAGGCAATAAGACAGAGGCATAGGTAGTGAAAGGTGGGTTATGCAAAATAGTGAAAAAGAAAGAAATGGGGAGAAAGGACCCCTAGAAAGACAAGGGTGAAACCAAACTTTATGGCATGCCATCAGCAGAAAAGCATGGGGAAAGAGACCTTGTCTTATTCTTTATTCAGGCAATTATGTATACTTTTTGAAATATAGTTAAGTGAACCCTAATTAATTTGTATACAACTTTCACTGCAATAAAGTCTACTCTTAAAGAAATCTCAATGTGCTTTAACAGTGTTTTCCCAGGTAATAACCTATCTTAAGTTTTAAGAAGTATTTGGACTATAAAATATTCTCATACTCTGTGAAAGAAACTTATGAGTGGATCTTTGGAGTTTGTCATAATAAGACTTTACATATTTACTCAATAGCATTTGGGTTCTGTGTATATAACAAACCTTGCCTCAGTTTCTGAAGTTGTAAATTTTTATAGGAGGAATTAGCCCATCTTTCTTGTTCTGAGCAGCTATTGGATTCAAACCATCAACCTTTTGGTTAGTCGCCCAACATAACACATTATTCTACCCGAGCTCCTTGATTATAATAAAAACTCAAAAAACCTCATTACTGTTCAGTCAGAATCAACTTGTAACTGACTCTTTTGCAACTTTATTCATGTTCTATATTGCTATGAGCTCTGGGGGCCTAATGGTAAGGAGTTGCACTGGCAACCCAAAGACACACTGTTCAAATCTGCCAGCTACTCCTTGGGGAAAAGGTGTGCAATCACCTTCTGTGCAATTTACACCCTTTTAAAACCCACTGGACTGTCAGCTACGAGTGGATTCTGACTCTCCAGGACACACAATAACTGTATTTTGGATTTTACATGTGAAAAAGGTTTCAAATAAATACCCTGTTAAAGTTTCTTGGTTTTACTTTATATTTTTTTTCAAGATTGCTGTGTTGATGTGTATGGATGTAGTTCATTTATTTTAAGTTCTGTGTAAGTACTCTACTATGTGAGTAAGCCACAGTTTCTCTATTCCTTAGTTCTGATGGATGATTAATTAGGCAATTTCTAATTGTTTATTAGGAACACTAGTAGCATGCTGAGCATCATCACATATGCTCTCTTGTGCAGTTATTTCAATAAGGTGGACTTGCTGGACTATAGGATATGCATATATTCACTTACTAGTTATTTTGCCAGGTGGTCCAGGAACACTAAATTATTAATAAATCTATTTTAAAATAGGAATAAGGGCAATTTTAAATTGTGTTGCTAGGCTACAGTATTCCTAGTGCACCTATTGTTTGATTTTTGCTGTGCAGTATTTGAATTCTTTCTTTGTTTCTCTAATCAGTGATAGATGATGAGCAATATTGTTTTTATTAGCATTTTATTAATTATTATTTCACCTAATATAAAAGTAACAGAAATGAATACTTTGACAAATACAACAAACTTTAAAAATGACAAATGAACATGTAATTCAGACATTATAAATTGATTCCCGAATCATTTAACTTATTTTATACTCACTTTAAATTAGTACTAGTATCAGATGCTTGATTTTAATAACTAGTGGCTTGAGAAACTATGACATTTTCTTTAATTATCCTGTTATTAAAGTAATTGTATTTCACTCAACTTCATAATATATGTTAAAAATGTTAACAATTTCATTTTAAAAGATAAGTTTTTCTTTCCCTTAAGATATTACATAATTAAACAAATTAAGTAGTGCAAAGGAGCTTTGGGAAGATTTTAGTTCTGTAAATGCTAGATATTTTTTAATAAATGCTTTTTTGGTAAATTCTAGAGTTTAAAAATATTTTAGTACTTCAAGAAATTAAGACCTTGTGTTTCAACATTCTTTTTAATAGGTTTATCTCATGTACTTTAAGAAATAGACTGAATCTTAACTGCAACAGATGTGTCATGCAGGGAGTATCCTGGTTTAAATTCTGAAGTACTTTCACTCCTGCTTGCTTCTCCTTGAAAACGTCTCAAAATAAGTTGACACATTATTTTTCGGATGTTACTGGACATCAGGAAATACATGACTGGGTCTAAACAACTGTTGAAAGATGAGAGTACCAGCATGATCTCGTTGGTTTTGTGAATGATTTCCTTCCAGTGGCAAGACGACTTACTGAGCTGTGAAGAAATGTAGATGAACCGAAAAGTATGATAGGGTACAAAACAGAGAGTAAAAATGATAAGCACAATAAAGGAGTTCCGGGCTGTAGTAGCATATTTACTAGAATTAGGAAATTTTGACCTCCTTTTAGAAATTCTCAATAGATTCTTACCTATCTTAAGATATGACAGGATTATTAGTAAGAAAATTAGCCAGAACATTACCACAAGGATGAAGTTAAAAATTGCTTCTCCTATTGCATTATGCTTATCTCTGTAATGGAAGCACATTGTGGAGCTAGATCCTTCTCTTTTCAATGTTAAAACAATCATAGTTAAAAATCCAACCAGAGCAATCACCCATACTACACAGCAAATACAAATACTTTGTTTGGTTGTTATTGCCTTCCGTTGTGGTATAGACCGGTTAATTTTTAAGTAGCGATCCAAACTGATGAATCCAAGCAAAATAATGCTAATGTACATGTTCATATAAAACAATATCCCCACAACCTTGCAAAAAATCACACCCAGTATCCACTTATTTTGGTTAATGTGATACATTATTCGGAATGGGAGGCAGAAAATGAGTAAGAGATCTGCAATGGCAACATTAAGTAGATAAATCTGGATAGAATTTCTTTTGCGGTGAATACTCAGAAATACATACAGGGCAATTATATTTCCAATCAGTCCCACAATGAAAATAATAGAGTAGAATGTTGTTAATACATTAGATAGTAATTTTTCATCCATGTGGCAGTTAATAGTCACATTTGATGTTTTTGAGAAGTTTTGTGGTGATTGGTCACTATAATTAGCTATAAAGTGCATTTCATGGGAGGAGAAAGGCCAGCTACTGACTGAAGTTGTCATCATTGTTATGGTTTGACTTCTCATTGTCTTCTGTGGGGATCAAAAAGCGAAGATGACAAATGACATGTTCCTTGTGGGTCAGTGTTATGTCTTCAAATTTTTCCTATAATAGAATGCCAAGTATTTAGTTATTTTTCTATTTTAAGAACAGTTGCTTTAACTTAAAGCGTAAGTAACAAAATTATTTCTTTTTAGACATTGTGAGAAACATTACCTTTATCTTTCTCCTTCCTTGGGACTATTTGGATGTCTATACTCTCTATGTTCTTTGCTATGCATCTGAGAGCTGGATAATGAATGAGAATGACAGAAGAAGAATCAATGTCTTTGAGTTGGGTATTGGAGAAGGGCACTGAATATCCCATGGACTGTCAATAGGACAAACATTAATTATTGGAAAGCATGCAGCCAGAGTGCTACATAGAGGCAAAGATGATAAAGCTTTATCTCATATACTTTGAGAATATTGCTAGGAGAAGCTATTCATTGGAGAGGTAGAAGTCGGTGGAGGAAGGAAGACCCTCAGCCAGATAGATTGACACAGTAACTGCCACAATGAACTTGAGTGTGCCAGGGAGTGTGAGGTTGGCACAGGATAGGATAGGGTTCAGACCTTTAGTTCATAGGGTTGCTATGGGTTGTACTCAACTCAATGACTCAATGTCACCTAACAACAACAACAACTCTGTGTGAAGCAGCACTTTTTAACCAACAAACAAGCAGCAAGTGCAGTAGGATTTTAGATAATGTGTTACTGTCACTTTTCCTATGTGTGGTATATATTCAAGATTGTTTAAATTACAATATTAAAGCAAGGGAGATTATTGGGAGAATAGAGATGGAAGTGAAAAAAACAAAACAAAAAAAAGCTGCTATTTTTCAAAATTGAGTATCCATTTCCCTAAAGGTGCTTTAGGAAAAGCATAGCCTTGTGAACCTCAGAATTGCTTCCTGTCTTGATCCTGTCCATCATATATGGCTTTTTCAAGGTTTGAATGTGTATTTATTCCTACAGACTCTTTTCAAACCTTGAGTGCTGTACTATAAAAATAATCATAGTAATTTTTAACTAGTACAACCATAACAATTAATTTTCTTGTTTGACATTGTACACAGAGGAAAATTTGGAAGTGCTTAACCTTAAAACTCAACTTATAATTTTATCAAGATGAAACTATTTTTGTAGATGGTAAAATTCAGATTTAAATTTTTGTAGAGGAGAGAAGAGTGATCCTCACAAAGAGAGAAGCTATCTAGAGAAGAGGAAGTCTTGTAATCCCCTGGTTAGTAATCAAGGGAGTGTAAGGAAGACTGAGTCTAGTCTGTTGTGTGTCACAACCGTAGAAAACAGATTTCACAAAATTTCTAGAAATAAATAGGCACATTTCTCAGGCACGAATTGAGATTCTAAAAAAGAAAGGCAATCTGGAAAGAATGGCTAACTGCCAAAAATAAAACTGATAATACAAAGTACCAGGAAGAAGAATCTGTAAAGAGACTTGTGTGGCTATGTAGTGAGTGCTCAAAAGGCTCAGGTGGAAACACCATACCACTGAGTAAAGGAAGTTGAGACCCATAAAATGAAGTGACTTTGAGACCTCAGCTCAAATAATTCCAAAAACACATCTGTAATAGTAAGGCTAACAACCAATTCTCATTTGTTTGTCTCTGTATACCAAATGCTTAGCCCAACGAATATTGTGGAATGAAAGAGGAAATATAAAAGAAATCTATATTAAGTTCTGCATATGAGTATTAAAATTGTTAATTGTACATGCAAGGAGAGACATTTCAGTGTATTAACAGAAACATAATTGTGTTAGACTGGTATTGCTATTATCATTAGGGTGAGATGACTGCAATAAAAAATGAATTCATAGTTATGCAGTGTTGGATTTAATTTAGTTGAATTCACAGATATGTAGTGTCTTAAATAAAGGTTATAATCCCAGTTTGGTTATGAACCAGGCTGCTAGAGTTTTACTCAGAAGACAACATTTCATTCTGAGCAGCACACTCAGAAAAGGCTGCTGGACTCAATGAGGAAGAGAGTTCAAATCATATGATAGGAGCAAGTTGAAGAAATTGGACACCATACTCCAGAGATGTGAATGCTTCATGAGGACATGTTAGAAGGTAGAACAAGAATTAGGGATTGGAAATTGCAGGGACAGATGTTGCCTTCCTTTTAAGGAAATTATCTTTTTTTAGATCAGAAGGCTCTATCCTAGCAGGTAAAAAGAGTCTTTTTTGCCTCAGATAAGGGATTTTCCAAACTACTACCAATTGAGTATTTTGTAGACGGGTTGGTTTCTCAGTGATTCTTAATTTTGGCTGCATAGTATAATCCTCTCGAAAGACTTTTAAAGATACCAGTGCCTGGTTCCATTCCCAGATATTTTTATTTAAGTGTCTGGAATGGTTGTCTTTGAAAGCTCCTTTGGGATTCTAATTTGCTGTCAGAATTGAGCTCTTGAGTTAGGTGGTAAAACTATTGACTAATATTTATTTAACACTTGCTGTGTATCAGACGCTGTGTTTAGCACATTTATATAATTTAATTTGTGAAATCCTTACAGTATATTTGTGAAGTAGATATTACCAAAAAAAGGTAATAAAAACACAAGAAGTTATGACCCTTTATCCGGGACTGTACAGCTCTTATATGATAGTGCCTAAGTTAGGACACAAATCTTTTGTGACTGAAAAAACTGGTGATCTATTTCATAAAACCTCATTTTTTCTTACCAACATGACCAGAAACTTTCTTTATGAATTTTGAGTTGCAGCAGCAGTACTTTGGCATGGCTCTCTTAACATTAACCATATTAGCAGTTTTAAGAAAAGATTATGCCATCTGTTTGTTTCTTGGGAAAATGTATTAACCTTTTTATTTTACATATCCATTATGGTAAGTAAATAAATTAAAAGTTTTCATAATTGCAATATATCCAAGTTCTCAGCATATCTTCCTCCTCCCTCCCTGTCCTCCCACATCTTTCCCAGCTCTACTTCTAGACATGCTATTCATGATTAAGATGTTTCTAGAAAACTATTAGCACAAAGTGCATATCCTGAAACTATTTGCCTCAACTCTATTCTGCAAGTAAAATAACTAATAGTTATTTTAATAGAAATTAAGAGTGAACATTTCTTTTTTAAAATTTCTTTTCATTTTATTATTATTTTTGTGTATGTGTACCGTTGAATCCGATCCGACTGGTATAAGAGGAGATAGTCCCTCCTTCTCCAGTGGAGCATCTGGTGGATTCAAACCGAGTGCCTTTGGAATTGCAGAGCAGTTTCTTGCCATTAGGCCACCAGAGCTCCCTAACAGTGAACATTTCTAACGTTATTTTATTCTGGAGGTTGAGAGAATAAAACGAAAGCAAAGTATTTTTTGTTTAAAAGGATAGGAGTTGTGGTAGCCTAGTGGCAAGAAGCTGAGCTGAAATCCTGAAGGCATGCAGTTTGAATCCACCAGTTGCTCTATGGGAGAAGGATGGGCAGTCTCCTCTTGTGCTATTAACTACCCTGAAAACTCGCTTGGAAGGTCAGCTATGTGTTAATTCCAACTCAACGATACACAACAATAATCATCATTTAGAGAGCTCCGGTGGTCTATGGGGTAGAGATTTGTTCTGCCAACCCAAAGACAGTAGGTTTGAACCCACCAAGATGAGCACTCTCCTCCCTTTCAAGTTACAGTCTCGGAAAACCTACTGGAGGGTCAGCTAGCTGTAAGTCCATTCTGACTTGAGGGCAATGAATTGAGTTGATTTGAGCAACCATCATTTAGTATTATGAATTAGATAGTTAGATATTTAGTAACAAAGTAACAAATGAGATTCCATTCCAAATATAATAATGGCCGATTTTTGTCTCCTTTAAGGCTATTTGGCACATCTCCTTGCACCAATAACTCATTAAGCTTTAGATTACAGCATAACCTCTTAAGGACTGACTCGACCACCAGCATTCCCTATCACTTTAAGGTCATTTATTTACAAACTACTTGTTTAATAATGTCAGAAATTGCCAATGGAGACAAGAAATAAGCCATTGTGTTTATGTAGTATACTAATTTCCCAGTAGATATTACTTGTGACACATGTGCTATATTGAAGTGATTGCAGTGGCTTTCATGGCAAGTATTTTTCATTATTGTTACTGAGCAAATTGTGAAGTTAGAAGGCCCAAGGTAATGCCTTGTGCAGGCTACCACTCACCACATTGGCTTTTTTCAAAGTGGCTCATAGGAAAGCCACTGCACTGCAGGACCTAACACATGCTACTGTGGCCCAGATGAACAGAAACTTTTCAAGTGTAATTTTGGTATATTTGTCAAAACAGTACATTGCTATTTTAAAATACATACCAGTTTTGTAGTGGTAGCGTCCTCTTATCAGTTTTTTGCTTTGATTTGGTAATGAATGAGTCATGTAGGCAATGCTTCCAATATTGTATTAATTTCTGCATACAGAAAGTTGAATGCATATTACTTTGAGAATAATGTTAAGAGAGCATTAGGTTTAATTACAATCTTTTGTTTAAAAGAACATTTTTTAAAAATTCAGTTCATTGAATTAACTGACGTGCAATTTACTTTTTTAGGGGGAAGAAGGGTCTATAATAAAATATATTGGAAATAGAATTTATTGTATATGAAAATAACTTAATTTATTCAAGAAGGTTATAAGTTAGATGAGATTTATAATAGTATCTCTCACTGCCTCTTTTATATATATTTTTTATTTTAAATTTATTTTCATGAAACTTTCAGAGACTTGGATTTCCGTTCATTCATTGTTGCACTTTTCTCCCTGCCCATCCCTCCCCCCAATTTTCTTTTCTTTGCCTCTTTTTAAAAATCACTCTGCCAAGTAAATGAAATTATTACCTAGATATTAAAGAAAATAATTAAGAGATTCTGCAGTTTTTGTTTTGGTTCTAGTTTAGTATTTAACCACTATCAATCAGTCTTACTTAGAGACACTTTACTTAGTAATTATAAAAGTAAAATA